GATACAGGTGCACTCACATACATGCAGGCAATACACTCATACACATAAAAAATAATAATAATAATAGCCGGGCGTGGTGGCGCACACCTTTAATCCCAGCACTCCAGAGGCAGAGGCAGACGGATCTCTGGGAGTTCGAGGCCATCCTGGTCTCCATAGCGAATCCAGGCCAGCTGGGGCTAGAGGGAGACCCTGTCTCAAAAAAGACCAATAATAATAATAGTAATAATAATAATAATAAAATTAAATATTTTTAAAAAACAAGGTGGAAAGCACTAGAGGAAGAGATCCAAAGTTGACATCTGGCCTCTACATATGCACTCACAGGCACAAAGCATCTGAGTATACACACACACACACACACACACACACACACACACACACACACACACAATCCACATAGACAAATAATTTTAAAAATTATTAAAAGCTGGACATGGTGGCACACGCCTTTAATCCCAGCAATTGGGAGGTAGAGGCAGGCCTGATCTACATAGTGAGTTCCAGGACAGCTGGGACTACAAGGAGACCCTGTCTCAAAAAAGACAAAAAAAAAAAATTAAAACATAGATCCAAAGTCCTGTAGATTTACTCCTATGTTTTCTTGAATTTTCTACATTTATATCTTTGGTCCATATTGTTTGTTTTGTTTTGTTGAGACAGAGTCTCATGTACCCTAGACTGGCTTTAAATTCACTTTGTAATGCAGGCTGGCCTTGAACTTCTGATCCTTTTGCTCTGCCTCCTGAGTGCTGGGCACAAGGCTATGGTCTGTTTTAAACTGAGGGCTGCACAGTGTGAAGTGCAGGTTTACCCTCACTCTCCGGCTTGCGGGTCTCCTATCATTCAAGTACCGTTTCATTTGTTGAAGAGGGTTTATGCACTATGAAACTGTGTTGGAACTTTGTAAAAAATCCATTGCCTGTAGATGTATGGGTCAATTTGTAGATTCACAATTCTATTCTATTGGTCTGTAAGTCAGTCCTTAAGCCCAGGCCACACTGTTTGATTCATGTGGCTTTTCAATAGGTTTTCAAACCAAGAAGTGTGACTCTTTAAACTCTGCTCTACTTTTTCAATATTGTTTTAGTTACTTAGGGTCCTGGATATTACACTGAATTTTTTAATTTTTATTTATTTATTTATTTGTTTATTTATTATTTGTGTGTGTTTGTATGACATGTCATGGCACACATGTGGAGCCCAGAAGACTATTTTTACATGTCCATTCCTGCCTTTCTGCCTTGTTGAGGCAGGATTTCTCTTCTTATTTCTGCTGCTGCACTGCATACCCCAGGCAAGCCTGCCAGAGAGGACCCTGGTGTTTCTTTCTGCTCTGCCTCCCATCTCACGATGGAGGACCTGGGATTACAGTTGTATGCCACTTTTATATGGGTTCCAAGGCTTCAAACAGGGGTCATCAGACTTGCGTAGCTAGTGCCTTTGCCCACTGAATAGAGTGTTCTTGTCTTTGTTTTGTTTTGTTTTGTTTTTTGAGACGGGGTCTCCGGGTAGCCCCAGCTGTCCTGGAACTTACTCTGTAGACCAGGCTGGCCTCAATTTCACAGAGATCTGCCTGCTTCTGCCTCCCTAGTGCTGGGATTAAAGGCATGTGGCACCACGTTCAGTGGATCTGTTTTTGAGACATGGTCTTGCTGGTGGTTCAGGTTGGTATTGAACTCTTGATCCTCATATCTCAACCTCCTGAGTGCTAGGATTATAGATGTATGCCACCACGCCCAGCTTCCATTGGATTTGATTTTATTTTACTTTTTTATTTTCTTGCAACAGGCTTTCAGGTATCTCAGGTTGACCTTGAATTCACTGTGTGAGCAGGCCTGGTCTTGAACCCCTGATCCTCCTGCCTCTGACTCCCAAGCCACCACACCCAGCTCTTCTTTTAGATTATTTATTGTTTCTTTTTTTATGTATATGAATGTTTTACTTGCATGTATGTAAGTGCATCTATACATTCAATGCCCACAGAAGAGAGCATCAGATCCCCTGGAAATAGAGTTACAGACAGTTGTTAGCTGCCATGTGGGTGCTGGGAACTGAACCCAGGTCCTCTGGGAGAGCAGCCAGTACTCTTAGACACTGAGCCATCTCTCCAGCCCCTTCTTTTGATTTTAGAAATAGATTGTCAGTTTCCTTTTTAAAAGCCATTGAGCCAGGCGTGGTGGCATAGAACTTTAAACCCAACACTTAGATGGCAGAGGCAAGTGGGTCTCTGTGAGTCTAAGGCTAACCTGGTCTATATAGAAAGTTTGAGGTCAGCCATGACTACATAATAAGACCCTAAATCAAACTCAGGTTATCAGGCTCATCTGCAAGCACCTTACCCAATGAGCTAACTCACTGGTCCCACTTTAGTTTTTTAGAGACAGGATCTCTTCCTGAACCTGGAGCTTACCAATTCTGCTAAACTGACTAGCCTACAAGCCCTGGGGATCCTCCTGGCTCCACCTCCCCAGTGTCTTTATCTTTAAAAGTTTGATTTAATGTACCTCAGTGTGGATGTCTTTGAGTTTGTCCTTCTTAGATTCTTGAATCTGTACTTTGTCTTTCATCGACTTTGGGTATATTTTAATTTGTATTATTTATTTATTTTATTTAGCGTGTGTGTGTGTGTGTGTGTGTGTGTGTGTGTGTGTGTTTCAGGTGCACACTTGTTTCAGGTGCACATGGGAAGAGGTAAGACAACAGCTTTTGGGAGTCTCTTCTCTCCTTCCACCTTGTTGAGGCAGGATTTCTCTCATTGTTTCCATTGTTTGGTGTACTCCAGGTTAACTGGCACACAAATTTCTGGGAAATTCTGCTGGCTCTGCCTCCCATCTTAAAGAAGGAGGGGTGGGATTACAGATGTGTAGCACCCCATCTAGCTTTTTACTTGAGTCCAAGGGACTGAACTCTGGTCATCAGGCTTGTGTGGAGATTGAACTTCAGTTGTCAGGTTTACATGGCAAGTGCTTTTAACCACTGAGCCATCTCATTGGCCTAGTGAATATTTTTTTTTAATTTTATGTGTATGAGTGTATTGCCTGCATGTAAGTGAATGCACTTGTGTCGTGCAATGCCATGGAGGTCAGAAGAGGGTTTCAGATTCCCCTGGAAATGGAGTTAAGGACAGTTTGTAGCCACCATGTAGGTGCTGGGAATCGAACCTGGGTCTTCTGCAAGAGTAGTCAGTGCTCTTAACTGCTGAGCCATCTCTCCAGCCCCGGCCTAGTGAATATTTTAAAGACAGTGTTTTGCTTTGTAGTCTAGGCTGGCCTCAAACTTATAATCCTCTTGCCTCAGCCTCAGTGCTCCAGTTAACACATTACCAGCATGCACTACCACCATGCCTGGGATTTTCTATCTTGGATCCTGTAGTCCCAAACCATCTCAGCATCCCTAACCTCTTTCCATCTGTGCTTGGGCCAAGAAATCTCTCCACTGGAGAGTTATCCCTTCCACTGCAGAAATAGTGACACTGAGACTCAGGGAAGGTACAGTTCTCGTCTACCCACTGGTTCCTTCTGCCATACATTGTTTATCATCCATGGTGTGGGGTGATCTCCAGGGGAAAACACCACCATATTAGGTGTGTCCTCCCTACTTCTCCTGCCCTAGGGGATGGAGGAGAACCTAACAGTGTGCTCTGTCTCTGTCCTAACCCCAGGAACTTTGCCACCACCCTACCACCTCCGGGAAGCACAGGTTACCATCCTAAACAACAGTAGGTGTCGTGAGCTGTTCAAGATTCCCTCTCGGAGCATTATTAGTGATGACATGGTTTGCGCAGGTGCTGAGAATGGCAGTGTAGACAGCTGTGGTGTGAGTATACATTCAAAGAAGCCCATCCTTTCTCACCTCGACCCTGAGAGTCCTTGTCTCCATGTCTGCCACCAACCCATCTTTGAGGTTCATTCATGAGAATCAGTTTCAGTTTTTAATTGTCCGGCCTATCATCAGGCCTCTCATTTTTCATTCATGGTACTTCCTCAAAAATCCCCAGAAGAGACCCCCAGAAGTAGAGACCATGGCCCCACTTTGCAGATGAAGAAGCTGAGGCTCAGCTACTGCCAGTGGGGAGGAGTAGGGTCCTTACCCAGTCTGCCAGTCCCACAGCTCCCCTGCTCCCCTAACCTCTTCCTCAGCCCCACCTGCCAACTCCCAGGCTCACCCATGCTGCTCCTTAGGGTGACTCAGGAGGACCCTTGGTCTGCAACATGGACGGGCTGTGGTATCAGACTGGAATTGTGAGCTGGGGAGAGGGCTGTGGCTGTCCCAAACGACCTGGTGTCTACACCAATGTCAGTCAGCACTACAACTGGATTGAAACTCTGATGATTCTCAGTGGCATGCCCAGGCCTAACTGGACCCCATGGCTGCTGTTCCTTGCTCTACCCTGGGCTCCCTGACTGCTGAGACCTGCCTGAGCCCACCATAGTCCATGAAGCTTTGGGACCAAAGCACCATTGCACTTCCCCTAGCCTCAGGACACTCAGTATTGGGTGGGGCGATCCTATCTGACCAGCTCCTGTCTAGTCTGTCTCCTTTGCTAATAAATATGTGTACCTATCTGAGCTGGCACCTTGCCGAACTTTATGGAAATTCAGTGGCTTCCTGGACATTTCCCTGTGTTGACCATAAGCAATCCAGCCCAGGACCCCACCATAATCTGTCCAGGCTTTTGTTGTGGGACAGCAGACCTATCACTGACAGTGGAGCAGGGACTGGAGATCTAGCTCTGCGCTGCAACCTGAGGAGTTCTTTCAAGATATCTCTCTTCGGGTGAAACTGGGATTCTTGGCTGCAGTGCAAAATAGAATTCCAGGACAAGCCAGTTGAGGCAGAGTTGGAGTTCATTATGAAGAGTTTAACATAGATTTAGGCATGGGGGGGGTCATAGTTTCGTTTCCTGTTGCTGTAATAAAATACTCTGCAAATGAAACTTTAAAGGAGAGAGGGTTCATTTGACTTACAATTCCAGGTTATAGTCCATTATTATGAGGAAGTCAAGGCAGGAGCTTGAAGCAGCTAGACACATCCACAGTCAAGAGCAGAGAAAGAGAACAAACTAATGCATGCTTGCAGCGCTCAAGCTCATTTCTCCTTTTTCTCTACAGTCCAGGACCCAAGCCCAGGGAATGGCCTCACCCACTTTTACCCTGGGGCTTCCTATATTATTATAACACAATCTCCCACAGACAAGCCCACAGGCCAACCTTATTTAGACAATTCCTTATTGAAACTCCCTTCCCAAGTGATTCTAGATTGTGTTAGGCTGGCAATTAAAACTAACCATCACCGGGGTTAATAAAACCCCTCAGGGAAAAAAAATTCCTCAGGGATAAGACACATCCAGTGTGGATATGGGATGCTGAAGAAAGCTAAGCGTCTGAGCAGTAGCCATATACATGGTTTTTGGCGGCTACTGAAGTTACAAAGGTTGTTTAGGAACTTCCTTTTTCCTTTTAAAAAAAAAATGATGGGGGCGGGACTGGAGATGGCTCAGGGGTTTAAAGCACTGGTTGCTCTTGCAGAGGACCCAGGCTCAATTCCCAGCACTCATATGGCAGCTAACAACCGTCTGTAACTCCAGTTCCAGGGGATCTGATGCCCTCTTCTGACCTCCTTGGGCATTGCACAACACAGGTGCACCTACCCACATTCAGGCAATATACTCATACACAAAAAATAAAAAATAAAATATTTTTAAATTTTTTTAAATAAATAAATAAAAATAAGTGGGGTGTGGTGGCGCATGCCTTTAATCCCAGCACTTGGGAGGCAGAGGCAGGTGGATCTTTGTGAGTTCAAGGCCAGCCTGGCCTACATAGTGAGTTCCAGGACAGCTGGGGCTACAAGGAGACCCTGTCTCAAAAAAGACAAAATAAATAAATAAATAAAATAAAACTTGTTTTTAAAAATGAGATTATAGGGTGGCTCCTGAGGTGCCTTGGATAGGATTACAATCTGGTATAGTCAAACTGTGGGTCACAAAGATTACATAAGGAGGTTAAGACATGTCTTCTACTGTAAATGGAATTTATAGTCTTGTGAGATGGCTAGAAATTGCAGGTTTACAGAGAAAGGCCATATTTGGCCATATACATTTAGACCTTCAGTATCATTCATTCCCTTTTTGTCATTCTTATTTTAATTATCTCTATATAAATGGAATATTAGTTGGGAATGGTGGTGCGCACCTTTAATTCCAGCACTCTGGAGACAGAGGCAGATGGATCTCATAGTACATTCCAGGCCAGCCAGGGTTGCATTTTTAAAATTTTTTTTTAAAGAAATATTATCTCTATGTGATTATATATTATCTCTATGTGAGAAATATTATCTCTCTGTGTCAATCTTCACAGCATACTTTGTTAATTGGTGGAATTCTTTTCCTTCTTCTTCTCCTTCTTCCTTTCTTTTTTTATTTAGTTAGTTTTTTATTATTTTTATTTTATGTGTACCAGTGTACTGCCTACATGTGTGTAAGTGCGCCTGTGTCATGCAATGCCCCCAGAGGTCAGAAAAGAGTGTAGGAGCCCCAGTTACTTTTTTTTTTTTTTAATAAGGGTCTCACTGTGTAGCCCTGGCTGGCCTGAAACTCACTATGTAGACCAGACTGAACTCACAGAGATCTATCTGCTTCTGCCTCCTGAGTGCTGGGAGTAAAGGCATGTGACCCTATACCTGTCAATTGGTGGAATTCTTGATTCTCAGCAGACCTGAGACTTCAACTAGACTCAAGGGAGAGAGGCTCCTTTCCTTTCCCTTAGCCCCTTAATTTTCCCTTTCTATCCTGCTTCAGAACCCTCTCTAGTTAGTTTAATCTGGAAGATGATTTATAGAAGGGTGGTTGTGCATCCAGGCTGTCTGAGGGCTGGTAAGAATGGGATAGGAGAGTGAGGTATGTAATCCCCAGTCATAATCCACACCCAATGTGCCCCATCATACCAGCACCACATGCACCTGATTGCATCCTGGTCTCCCACAACTCTGCCTAGGATCAGGACTTAGTTGCATGTAATTTATTTGGGATTCCAGCCCAGGAAACACAGGTGAGGATGTGTGTTGTTTTTTTTATCACTATAATGAAAAGAGTGAGGCTGAAGGGGAGATAGCACTGTCCATGTCCCCATCTGCATTAGGTTTGCTTCTCCCAAGGTTCAGATGTTCATTCAGCCAGCTGCAGGATGCCCTCCCCCAACTGAGCCAATTTCTCAGGAAGGACCTGTTCCAGTGCCCCATTCCCTCACATTTCCCCACATTCTCCAACCTTGCCCCTTTACATTAGACTGCAGCTCCCGGGCCCTATACCAGATCGGGTGCCCAGCCTCTGAGCCTTCATACCTACCCTACTTGCAAGGTTTAATCCATGTCCCCAGGACTGACCATGTTCTGAGGGTCCCTTCCTGCCCTCACTTCATTAGTTTTTCAGCAGCTTTCCAACTCCCACAGACTCCACCAAGCTTTCCAGGTCAGACCTGGAGTAACAGAAGGCGGGGGGCACTGGGGAGGATGGGAACATTCTTCCTACACTTTCATAAGATTTGTCACATGCCTGGCACTGCTCCAATCTCTGCGTGGTTCACCCTGCTAATCTTCAAAACAACCATCTGTTGGTTTTACAGATGAGAAAAGCAGAGGTGGGGGTGGTGCAGGGAGTTGAGTAACTCTGCCAAGGGCACAACTTTGGAGAGAGGAAGTGCCAAGGCCAACTTCCTGAGCTGAACCTGGATCAATAACTCTCTTTTTCCCTCTCCCTCCCTCTCTCTTGTCTCTCCCTCTACCATCTCCCTTTCTCTCACTTTTATTTTTTTTTGGGGGGGGGGCATTCAAACCCAGGGCCTCACATAAGCAAGGGCTTTATACAGCTTTACCACTGAGTTAGCCCTCAGCTATGTATCCATTTGCTTGGTGTTTTTGGTTTTTGGTTTTGGTTTTTTTTTAGACAGTCTCATGTACCCTAGACAGGCCTCAAACTTTCTATGTAGCTGAGGATGATCTAGAACAACTTTTTTTTTTTTTTTTTTTTAAGATAGGGTCTACCCCAGCTGGCCTGGAGCCCTCTATGTAGACCATGTTGGCCTCAGTATCACAGAGATCCACCTGTCTCTGCCTCCCAGAATGCTGGGATTAAAGTTGTGCACCAACACACCTGGCTACCTAGCACTTCAGAGCCTCCCATCTCCACCTTTGAAGTGCTGGAATGACAGGTGTGTGCCCCATACTCTGTTCACAAACCCAGGGTCTTGTGCTAAATGTAGGGAAGCAGTCTACCAGTTGATTCATATCCCAACCCCAAGTATGAGTTTTAAGTGTTGTCTTTGGCTGTGGACAGCAGAAGCTAAGACTTGCTGAAGACTTGCTTCCTCCCTCCCCTCCATATCCAAATACCTTATCTGGGTCACAATGAGGTCCTCTCTGCTGGATCTCTCAGCCCTGCTCAGCTCTTTTCCCTCACTCTCAGTTCTTCAACGCCAGCTCTGTACTGAGCACAGTTCTGCCCAGTGGAAACTGTCGTGGACTTAAATGTGCCTCCTCAAAAATTCCTGTGTTGAAGCATTGGCTTCATGACTATAATAAAATACTTACTGCAGGTTAACTTAATAAAGAAAAGACATTTTGGGGGTTGGAGAGATGGCTCAGCGGTTAAGAACACTGGTTGTTCTTGCAGAAGACCTGGGTTCGAATCCCAGCACCCACATGGCAGCTAACAACTGTCTGTAACTCCAGTCCCAGGGGATCCAAGAGCCTCTTCTGACCTCCGCAGGCATTGTACAACATGGGTGCACTTACCTACATGCAGGAATACATGCATACACATAAAATAAATAAATAATTTTTTTTTAAAAAGACGTTTCTTAATTCATAGTTTTACACATCCAAAAGTGTACTGGTATCGGCTGCTGGTGAGCCTTCTTGCTGGCAGAGTCCTGTGGTGGTGCATGACACCAACATAGAAAGGAAATGTGTGTCTCTGTGTGTAGTGTTCCTCCAACTTCTAAAGCCAGTAGAATTCTGGGCAGGAGATGTAGCTCAGTGGTAGTGGTAGAGCTCTTGCTTAGCATATGCAAGGCCTGGGTTCCATCCTCAGCACGGCAAAACAATGAAAAAGAGAGTGGGGAGGGGGCTGGAGAGATAGCTCAGCAGTTAAGAGCACTGGCTGCTCTTGCAGAAGACCCAGTTCACAAGGACCTGGGTTCTAGCTCCAGCATCTCAAAACAAAGAAAAAAAAAAAACTTTTCAAAAAGTTGTGGCTAGGCGTGTGCTACATGCCTTTAATCTCAGCACTCAGGAAGCAGAAGCAGGCATATTTCTATGAGATGGAGGCCAGCCTGGTCTACATAGCAAGTTCCAGGCCAGCTGGGGCCACAGGAAGACCCTGCCTCAAAAAGTTTTGATCCATAGGAGCAGTGTCCAAAGAAGAGAAGACAGTTCATTCTCTTTCCTGCCCCTCTGCACAAATGTCAAATCACAACTTTAATGTGGCCTGGAGGGTGATGTGGCTGGGGCAGGGACCCTCACAAGAAGGAGGCCCTGGAATAAAGGCTGAATGATGAAAAGGAGCTGACTGGGCAGAGATGGGCACAGAGATTCCAAGCAGTGAGCCCGGTCTATGAACCTAAGAGGGTATTCACAGCCTTGGGCACTATCCTGGTCCCAAGCCTTCACTAGGCCTGAGAAAAGGACATTCCCTGGCTGCTGGCCCTAGCACCTTCTGGCCTCACCCTAAACCAGCAGCCTTGCCCTAATCTGGCCACCCCAAACCAAAGAGTGGATTATTCCCCAAGGTGGTGTCTGCTTTTCCTTGTGGTCAAGTAAGGGATGATGCCAACATGGAACCAGTCATTGCCACTCCAAGCTCATACAGATCTGGGACGCAGGAGGGGCTGGCCAGGTGGGTTCTCTGTTTGCAGTCAGCTGGGGACACCTGAGGTCTAAGGTTGCTGGGCTGGGGTCTGGGCTTCATGTGTGGCCAGCTGGCCTAGCTGAGCCGGAATTACTGGACAGAACAATAGTGCTCAGAAGCTCCAGTGACCAAGTCTGTCAAGAGTGCAGGATCAGGTTTAGAGATGAGCTGCCAAGGATCTTCTGCAGCTTCCTGGCCTGACCGCAGCTCCCCCAGCCCCCACCCCAACCCCACTTCTCAGCATCTGGTGTCCTTTTCCTGCCACCTCTTAAGTTCTCTTCAAAGCATCTTTGTTTAAGGCTGATCAGGTAAAGCCACAGCCCCGCCTTGGTCTTGTTAATTACACAGGCCTCCACCCACTGTCCTTTAAGACCCCAGGACTTGCCCTGGCCCCAGTGAGCAGAGAGGGCACCAGGCCTTAAGGGTGAGAGCTGGGTCTAAGGGCTACCAGGTCAGTCCTTGTCGGGAAATAGAAATAAAAGATGGGATTGGGAGGATGAGGCTGCAGGATTCCTACTGAGGCCTAAGGTACCCAAATCTCAGAGGTTTGGCATGCTTGATCTGAGGGGGTCATTTGGAACCTAGGCACAGGAAAGGGTGTAGAGTCTGGGTGGCAGGGACAGGTCCAGAACCAAGCAGAAATCAAGGGCAGACAGGATAGTCACGGAGGTACAGAGTCAGGTGGGATGTGGCCCCCTGGCCTAGGATGCACCTCTCTGCTTCCTGCCTCCTCCAGAGACCAAGCCCTGGGTACTGCTACCCATACCCAGTCCAGTTCTGAAGATAGAATGAGGGATGCTTCCTGCCTCCAGGTCCTGCTCCTGTTGATGTTGGGTGAGTGCAGGTGGGGGGCATGGGTTAGAAGCTCTGCCACAGAGACCTTAGCTACAGGTTGCCTACCTCACCTCTCCATGAGCCTGGTTCCTCAAAAGCACCATAGGGCATTTTAATCTTTATTCCAAAGCATGGAGTTTCTCTACAACTCAAATCTGAGTATGCCATGTGTATATAGAGCCTAAGTCCCACCTGCCACCTCCCAGCGCTCTGGGGAGGTGAATGAGGCAACCAATGGCACAGAAGCTTGGCATGAGGTCAGTGTAACATATATGTTCTACCTCCTACCTAATCTCTGACACTAGGCTGTTACCTGACACCAAATCCCTAACCCAGTCCCTCCCTGCTTCCTCCTGCAGGAGCCAGGATGCAGGAAAGTGCAGGTAAGAAGGTCTCACAGCCACCCCTTCCCCAGCTTGACCCTGTCCCCCTACCTGTGCCCACCTCCAAAGCCCCCGTCCCCAGCCGACCCTCACTGCCCACTTGTCCTGTCACAGCCTGTGGGCAGCCCCGAGTGTCCAGTCGGATCGTGGGGGGCCAGGATGCTCAGGATGGAGAATGGCCATGGCAGACAAGCATTCAGCACCACGGGGTCCATGTGTGTGGGGGGTCACTCATTGCACCTCAGTGGGTGCTGACGGCAGCGCACTGCTTCCCCAGGTCAGTGCCCACCTACTCTGCTCTAAGGAAGAGCAGAGATGCTGACTGGGAGAGGGAGGGGTGGTGCTGGCTCCTGATAGACTGGTAGACTGGGATCCCCTGGGTCGTGGTCCAGGTGTTGTCCGTAGCCTCCACTTCTGTTTTGCAGACGAGTGCTACCAGCCCAATACAGCGTGCTCCTGGGGGCGCTGAGTCTGGGTGTCACGTCATCCCACCAGCTCTTGGTTCCTGTGCTTCGGGTGCTACTGCCTCCAGACTACTCTGAGGATGAGGCTCGTGGTGACCTGGCACTGCTGCAGCTGCGTCACTCAGTGCCTCTGAGCTCCCGCATCCAACCTGTCTGCTTGCCTGCACCAGGCTCCCACCCACCACCCAGGTCTCCATGCTGGGTCACTGGCTGGGGTAGCCTCAGCCCAGGAGGTGAAGCACATGGTCAGGCTATGGGGACATTGGGGAGCTCCATCCTTTTCCATATGATTGTGAATCCCTGGCCCTCACAGCCCCGATGTGGGACCCAGAGCCACTTGTGAGGACCTAAACTCCTCCCATTAAGACTCAAAGACTCAGCTGGGGATGGTGGTGCATGCCTTTAATCCCAGCACTTGGGAGGCAGAGGCAGGTGGATCTCTGGGAGTTTGAGGGCAGCCTGGTCTACAGAGCGAGTTCCAGGCCAGTTGGGGCTACAGGGAAACCCTGACTCAAAAAAGACCAAGAAAAAAAAAAGACTCAAAGACTCCTGGCTGACGTGTCCAGACTCTCTTTTCCCATTGAGCCTTGTTTCATACCTTGTTCTCTCTTGGGTCTCAGACATCTCCCTCTCCTCCCAGTGCCACTCCCAGAGGGGCGACCCCTGCAAGGAGTGAGGGTGCCACTGTTGAACTCCCTTGCTTGTGACCACCTCTACCACATAGGCACTGATGTGCCCCAGGCTGAGCGCATAGTGCTGCCAGGGAACCTGTGTGCTGGCTACCGCAGGGGCCACAAGGATGCCTGTCAGGTGTGTCCACCTACCCACATTCCCTGGAATCCAAACCCTAGCACCTCACCTCCCTGGAACCCAGGACCCAGGAGGTCGCAATCCCCAACCCAGAGATATCATCCCAGGGAATTGGACCTGGGAAAGGGGCCTTCAAAAATCTTGAGCAGGATGGGACCTAAGCTTACCTTTTTTTCCTGCAGGGTGACTCCGGAGGACCCCTGACCTGTATGGACTCCGGACACTGGGTCCTGGTGGGTGTGGTGAGCTGGGGCAAGAGCTGTGCCCTGCCCAACCGTCCAGGTGTCTATACCAAGGTAGCCAAGTACAGTCCCTGGATAGAGGCTCACCTCAGTCTCTGATGCTGATTGGTTTGCTGATGCTGATCTGGAACCTCCTGGCCCATTCTGTACATCCCTTCCCCTTCTGACTTGAGGCTGAGATGCTAAGATCCCAATTGCTCACCAATGCCTCCTTTCCTCCTTGAGGTTCACCGGCTGACTCTACCTTCTGTCATTCAGAGATTTGCTGTGAGTTCCCTACCATTACGTGTTTCCTCCCTCTACCCCTGGCTTGTATTTACCTTCTCTGGCTTTGAACATAAGCAAACCAGCTGGTAGCTCATCTGGCCTGTGTGCCCTCTGCTTCCTGGAAAAAGTCAGATTCAAAGAATGAGAGAAGCCAGGCATGGTGGCGCACGCCTTTTATCCCAGCACTTGGGAGGCAGAGGCAGGCGGATCTTTGTGAGTTCAAGGCCAGCCTGGTCTACATAGTGAGTTCCAGGACAGCTGGGGCTACAAAAAAAAAAAAAAAAGGAATGTGAGGAACTGGACACCTAGGAGAATCTCCATTGTTGACTTTGAAAATGGGAGGCCAGGGATTGTGAGTAGCCACAAGGTGCTGACAGCTGCCCCTGGCTGACAGCCAGCACAGAAGAGAAACCTATGACCACTAGAAACCACTTTCTGCCAACAACAGGAGGCTGGATGCAGATTTCCCCCATCCTCTACATAAGATCCAGAGTGGCTAATCCCTTGACTTGAGCCTGGTGAAGCTTTCAGCAGAGGACCCACCTGAAGCCACCCAAACTTCTGACCCACAGAGTTCTGATTTAATAAATTTAATTTTTCTTTCAGATGCTACCTTTGTGGCAATTTGTTACATGACCATAAATACTAGTATATACAGATTTTTGCCCCACTGCAATGGAAATATCTCAGGGGAAGGGTAGACAGGGTGTCTGTATCCAGGAGGCTCAGGAGTCTATATGTCACATCCTAGGGCAAGGAAGCCCAGGACCAATCATCTTGATAGACAGAGGTCAGTTTCTAGAGCTCCCGAGGGAACTGAGCACCATATGGAGAACTATCAGTGATGAGGCAAAAAACAAGGTGGGGGACCATCAAAGACCTGAATTAGTCTGTCTGTCTTTATCTCTCTGTCTCTTTTCCCTGCCCTTCCTCATATGCCAGAATCCAGTGGAATGCACCATATGGTCACTTCTAGACTAAGTGAGAGGTCGTACAGGGGAGGAGCTCTAGGCTGTTCCCCCGACCCAAGCTGAGAGCAGTCCACCGTGCAGCAGTAGAGCTGGTCCACCCTTGGTGAGGTCACCAGAGATGAGGGTGCCCAAGACAAGGCATGATTTTTGCAGGCCAACCTATGAGAACCCATTTGTACATCTATGGATCCTGTTAGGCCCTGCTGGGAAATACCAGCTGCTCATGATGTCACTGTGAGTATATTACCCCATGCCCTTCTCCCATCCCTCCCCAGCCTGGGGCCAGTCAAGTAGCCTTCCTCTAGGAAGTCTCCTGAGAGGGCAGCACATGAGGGGGCACTCAAGAGAACAAGCCTTGAGTCTTGGGCTTGCTATGATTTGAGCCATGAGTCCCCATCCAAAGAGGCCAGCATTTCTGAAGTATGACCTACCAAGTAGCCAAGGAGAGCTTTCTAGAACCAGGAGAACTGAGCAGGGAAGGGATTCATTAATAAAACCATTGCTCCTTTTCCTATGTGGCTTGGGTGTGGTAGGGCAGGGGCCTTACTGCACCACCTCATCACAGTCTTGGTTTTCCTATTCATAAAGTGAGAAAAATGGTGCCCAAAGCCACAACTGAGGCCCGTCATAACTGGTGGGGTGGTAGACCAGTACTCATACCCAGGCAGTCTGGTTCTAGGAGTGCCCCTTTGCCCTCTCCACTCTCCACCTGGCCTCTTGGACCATTCCTGGGGTTATCAGTGCATGGTGCTGGCAAGACACATCTCAGGCGTGTGCTATCTGCCACACCCTATCTATCAGGGAGGTCAGCTCCACAGAGTGACCAGTCTGCTGAAGCTATAAACTGCATCCTGCCCCTTAGCCATAGCCCTTCGATGCAGGCCTCGTCTTCCAGGTGACAGGATTGAAAACTGTGGGGCCGTAAAGTGGCCCAATGATGGATGTTGCACATGAGGGCAAGTGACTTCAGAGGGCTCCTAAAGAGCCAGAGGCCACTAGTTCAAAGTAATGTTTCAAGACAAAAACTTCGACTTTTTTGTTTTGTTTTCTGTAGTGGGGATTGAACCCAGAGCCTTGTATATTCTGGCACTGGTCTAAAACCCCAGTTCTATTTTCCTATCTTAAAGAGAATTAGGCATGATGAGGTTAGCTACCCAAAGCTGCAAGGTCATCTGAGGAACAAGTTCAATCAGCTGCCAGTCTGATACAGTTCCAAGGCAACAGCACAGTGGGTTCATCCCTTAGTGAGTGGAAAGCCAAGAGATAAAAAAGTGAAACAAGCTTTATTGCTTGTAGTCAACGAGAGGACTGGCATTCTTTCCCTAAGCAGTGATTCTCTAAACAAAGGGAAAAGGAAATTTTATTAGGAAGACTTATGCATGTTATACCATAAAACTTGTCATCAAATGAAAAGGTATGCACATTCCTGCATATGTACAGTTTGAGATTATGATTCATACACTGCAAGTTTTTATTTTTATTTTATGCACGAGTGTATTGCCTGCATGTTATATAAGTGCACCCCTGTTGTGCAATCCCTCGGAAGACAGAAGAGGGTGTCAGATCCCCTGGAACTGGAATTATGGACTGTTGTTATCCATCATGTGGGTGCTGCAAGAACATTGGGTGACTTTTGCAGTATTAAACCAGATTTATTCTAGATTAAACCTGTTTTGTTCCTCTCTGGAGGGCCATCTCTGCAACAAAAAACTTTAAGGAACGTAGCACTTTACATCCCCACCCAAGACAAAAGTGGTTAGTGCTGAGTTCTGCCTCCCTAACAATTTTAAACTCTGCCCATGCTCAACTACCCTAACACTGCAAATCTGTGTGGAGTTCAGGCTCATTCCTTGAAATGGACCCTTACAGCTGTCCAACTCTGGCAGAGAGGTTGAGAAAATTTTTGGTTCAGTGTAAGTGCACTATAGGGCAACACAAGTGATCAAGGGGCTGCCAAGCCTGGAAAATCAAGTCGGAAGGCCCTTCAGGCGTGTTGGTGCCCTGGCTCCTGGGTGGAGGGGCATCATCCCAACTTCTTCAATTCCAGGAACTGCACCTGAGATGGTAAAAGGAATGAAGACAATCTAAAGAGCCCCACTTGTGCTCTTCTCTTAGATTAACAGACTGATCAACAATGGTCTCCCAAGGAAATGGGCTTTGCCAGGTTCCTCATGCTTGAATAAAAGGCTGTGCTTCTAGCGCCAGCCTGAGGAAGGGGGACGGATGTACTTAAGGGGAATCCGTTTCCTAGCAACAGCTGACACACAGTTTTGACAACTCCTCAGACCACCTTGCAGGTGGAATGGAGCTGAGACAAGGACAAATGATGAGCCAATTTCAGCCTAAAACCTTTCAAAACTTCCATGATGGGACTAAGGGGCGTCACTGTACCTCTTTATCTGTCTTCCCATGTGGCCACACTGAGTAAATGTTTCTCTGCTTTTCACTACTACTCTTTAATTCACACACTGGAACTGGATGACCACAGTGGCCAGGACCCAGGCTTTGACGCGATTAATTCCAGTAACAGCACCATTCCTTACACCCAACACCTCTGGGACTTAGCAGGAAATGGATTTGGGAAACTCTTAGGATAAAGTCTGGGTCGGAATGAGGGTGACACAGTTTCTTTACAGTGTGGCCTTAAGATCCCTCTGCCCTGCTGTAGCTCTGACGCCGAGATGGCTGCCACGAACCACGTACACAAGCTTCCGTTCCGCTTTCTTAAGATGGCGGCATGGGGGAGGGAGCACGGAGCGGGAGGCGGAGGGCGGGGCG